TACCTCTCTCGCCGCGCCAGCTCCGCGCCGCGCGGCCACGCCTCGGCGCCGCTTTCGCTCGCTCCTGAGACATCCGCCCCCCCAGAACTGGGGGACCTCTCGCGCGGCCGGCACCGTTCATCCTGTCGTCCATTCTCGCGTCCACGGCGCCCCCACGCGACCCGGTGCTTCTAGGATGACTGCCAGACGTTCTCTCGCCTCACTCTCCCCAGAGAGAGGGAGAATGACGACGCAGCGGCTGGACAAGCGTATAGCAAGCAGTTCCTTTGGCATGGCTTGGTGTGCAAACACGTTTTCACCCCCCAATGGCCGGATCTCATCGCTCAGGGCCATGGAAAACCACAGGGCGACAGTGGCTGTTGCGCCGCGACGCAACAGATCCGCACTTCCGCTCTCCCGAACTGGGCCAGATTATGCTTCACCACCTCGGGTGAAGTGTCCATTCGCCTGGCAGGGGGCCGCCCTCGACATGAGGTCGGCCCCCCTGTTCTCCCAGTCCCGGGATATGGAGGGCTTCAGAGATAACACCACCTCTGAAGCACCACACACCACAGCCTCCCGGCTGTGGCCAAACAACGGCGGGACTCCTCCTGCCCTGTTGATATAAGCCATGTGGTGCTGTTGTCACTCCCGACCATTTACATGTCTCCCTTGAATTAGGGGCATGAAATGCTGTTGGACTAACACTACCGCCCGTAGCTCTAGGAGGTTGCTGTGTCGCGCGACTCTGTAGAGACCAGCGCACCTTATAGCCATCTCTCAGGCATCCCTGTTCTCGGATTGCTCGTCCGTAACACCTGTGATAATAAATAATAATAATATATAATAAATGAGATCTATATATAGCGCGTTTTCTAGACCCAACAGACGCTTACATTAGAGTCCAGGTCGCAAACACAAAACACAGAACAAAAACACAAACAAAAACAAAAACAAAGAGCGAAACAGAGAAAGCAGTCCAGGAGGATTGTTGGTCAGAGGGAGGAGGGGCGGGTTTCTAAGGATAAGCAGATTTGAAGAGGTGGCGTTTTTGAGACGGGACTGGGAACAGGTTGAGGGATCAGCACTTCACGGAGGTCTTGGGGGAGGGAGTTCCAGAGCTTTCGGGGGCTGCCACAGAGAAAGGCTCTTGTCCCCGAAGCTTCCGGAGTTTGATGTGATTGTATGGAGGTCTCCCGTCCCGTGAGACCCCCTCCCGGAGTGTGACCGGGAGCCCCAGAACCGGAGGTTGCCTCCACTGTGGGGGGTGAATGGTCACCACAGCCGCCGTTTGTGCCTCTTGGATCCAAACGCAGACTGGAGAACACACCTCTGCAGGCGGCGCATAATGCAGTAAACCCCAGCGGACCACAATGTGAGCCGCCGCCGTGGTCACCCCGAACTTGCATACAAGTTAAGCGGTCCACTGTCACCGCCCTGGTCGCAGCCTGTGAACCGCGGCTCCGCGCCGAGAAGGGACACACTTCTGCCCCTCGTGACAGGCTGCGCGTAGCGCGTCTGCATCGAGCACCAACTCCCAACTACAACGCCTGTTGGTGAGGTATGGGGGTGCTTTTTTTCCAATTGATCGCAAAGCCTAATTTGGTTAGGTTTGTGATCAATTGTGCTGTGCAAAGCATTGCCTGTTCCCTGGACCCGGCCATCAGACTGAATGTTTCATATTTACACAAATTGCCGGGTTACATATTGTAACCCTTGTTATATTAACGCAGGCGGAGCCCTCTACTGGACTCTATGGGTACTACCTTATCATGCAAGCATTCACCTACTGAGATTTCTATAGACGTAGCCGGCCCCTGAATGCGCGCGCATCTCACTTCCGTATAAAAGGAGGCCTCGCCTCCTGAACATCATCCTACAAAAACAAAACTCTCATGCCGTGGGCGCGCAGCGGTTGAAGTGCAGTGGCCACACATTCGCTGAACCTGCGTGGCGATAGGGAGTAGCCGAACGGTAATCTGTTGTACTCGTAGGCTATCCCCTGGAAGGATAACCCCGTTTCAGCGTCCCGTCCATCGACTTTGTTAACACACAGCTGGGTTTCAATTCCCCATAACATTGTATTAGGGGACAAGCTCCCAGCTGTGGGGCCCCAGCTATGAAGCTGTGAGACTCTCTGGTGACCCGTTCTGCCACAAAACCCCCGTGAAGGGAAGTTTTGCCCATGGAGGGTCGACACAGAAAGGGCTGAGGTCCCTGAACGCACCGCCGCTCGCTCTTCTGTGAGTGCGGGCTCCGCCATAATGCAGCCCTTACCACTATGGAAAACTGCATTAACTGGAGTCTTTGCTCTAGGCGTAGTGTGATCTCTGACATTATTACATGGCTTAGTTGAATACTCAATTCTGATTGGTCAATTCAGAACACGTGACACGTTGTTAATCCAGAACAGACAGACCCCCGGAACCGGGCCTGGGGCAAGGCCCGTGGACATTCGGCCTTGCGGCCCAATAATTGCTCTGATCTGGTGAGGCGGAGGCATCTCTAGCAATGAGCGAGTAGCCCACACACCCGCCGCCATGATCATCATCCAGGGAGAGTACAGCCCTGGGCGGTGGACTTCCATGGACGCCGGACCCGGAAGGAATGGCGAACGTGACTGGCACCGCTTCTGCCCTATCCTGGTCCCCCAAACACTCAAAGCAGAGGTGGTGGGGATTGGCGCCCGCTATTTAAGCCAGGGCACGAAGGACAGGCCCGGGTCTCTAGCAGTGGTGACTCCCTGGAGGTATAATAACTCCTTCTTCTTCTGTCAAACGTCAGATAGTTCTCAGTGTCACTTCCGCTCGTTGAAGAGTAAAGGATGATGGTCAGGAGGTGAGGCCTCCTTTTATACGGAAGTGAGATGCGTTCGCATTCAGGTAGGCCCGCCCCGGGGCCGGCTACGTCTATAGAAATCTCAGTAGGTGAATGCTTGCATGATAAGGTAGTACCCATAGAGTCCAGTAGAGGGCGGAGCCTGTGAGAAATATCAAACTAAAATGTTCATGGTTTGTTTGTAAGATATACTTTAATGATCCCAAATTGGGATTTTTTTTTGTCATTACAGCAGCATGTTAAAACTGAGGAATTTTGAGGAATCATTTTGAAAAATAAAAAAAGTAGAAAAGAAAAAAAGAAAAAATCTAAACATCTCAATATAGAAAATAAAACTGAACTTAAAGGTGGGTGAGGGAATGCTCTGGTTTTGGGACAAAATTAACATGGGATCACTCAATGTACGTACTTGGTCTCACTGGAATATTAATGGCCAGATTGAATACAACATCGACCCAATTTCTCCGGTCAATGACGGGAGAGTTTTGAAAGTGACAAAACACTGTTCCACACATTTAAAAACACTTAAACAATTAAACAATGTTTACCCAGGATTCAGGCACCTTCCCTGGCTTGTAAAATGCGGTGATGCGCCCTGGAGGTATCCTACTATTTAAAACATGTATACCCAGGATTCAATCACTTTTCCTGGCTGTGAAGCATTCTGTTCTCTGGGTGCAGTCTAGGTGCAATAGCCATGTGCTGCGAGGAGCTCTCTGGGTGCGCTCTGTGGGGTCTCGCAGCCCGCTCCTCTCTGGCTCTGCTNAAGCATTCACCTACTGAGATTTCTATAGACGTAGCTGGCCCCTGAATGCGCGCGCATCTCACTTCCGTATAAAAGGAGGCCTCGCCTCCTGAATATCATCCTACGATGATATTCAGGAGGCGAGGCCTCCTTTTATACGGAAGTGAGATGCGCGCGCATTCAGGGGCCAGCTACGTCTATAGAAATCTCAGTAGGTGAATGCTTGCATGATAAGGTAGTACCAAAAGAGTCCAGTAGAGGGCTCCGCCTGTGTTAATATAACAAGGGTTACACTACGTAACCCGGCGATTTGTGTAAATATGAAACATTCAGTCTGATGCTCTACTTCCCTCTTGTGTCCAAAGATTCCATCACAGCGGAAACCGGGATACAGGTGAATGCATGTCCCTGTTCACTGGAACTCTTTGGAGATGTCTGAACTGCCCTGAAGACAGTGAATAGTTTTGGATGGTGGGTTGTAGGGTTTTAAAGAACGATGAATGGGTACATTTCTGGGAGTATTGTGTCATCACAATCTGCTCACAATAAAAAAAAAAGAAGCAGAATGGACGATCATGTGAATGAATCAAATGGTGTGCAGACTTCATATCACCTTTGCTTTAGTTTTTTATTGAAGACAGCAGCTAAAAAACTCATTTTGTTGTTTTCTTTTCTTTTCATTTTTCTTGTTTTTCTTAACAAAATAAACCAATGACAGTATTACAAATAATTTAAACGGATACATCATTCACAGGTATACTATCAAATATACATTTATACAGAAAAACATAACATATGAGATCACAGCGGTAAGGACGGGGAAGAGAGGAATCTAACAGACCCTGTGATGTGTGTGGGATCAAAAAGTGTCCAGAGAATATATTTTAAAGTCCTTTTTCACAGAGAAGAGAGGTTTTTGGGCTTCTCATGGTCAGGCAGACAGGAAGAGTGCAGTACAGGGGATAGGTACTTCATAAAGCTGAAATACTGGATTCTGAAAATTAACGATAACCTTCAGTCTGTAAAATACTGTGAAACTACTGTCTTCTTTCTCTTAATGTGCTGTAGTTCGGCATAATAAATTGTATAAATAGTGGCTCCACATACACAAGCCAACATTATGAACAACGCTTATTCCCTTTCTCTAGGGAAGTCAGATGAGAATATGGCTCTTAGTCCAAAAAATAAAAAAAGCTATTGAACTCACTGATGGACATGTTTGATTGGTCTGTACAAAGAAATGTAAACACATCAATTTCTCAAGGTGTTACATTCCGGGACTACAGGATATTTTGACGATCAGCAGCATGTCTCACATTGTCACTGTGGGGTTGCCAGGTTGGTTATTGTTTTAGTGGCCATTAACAGTTTAAAATAAGTGAAATAGCCTGACCTACAGTATGACGTGCATTCTGTTCCTAACACACAGGTATGCTGTGTAGATCCATCAGAACATATACCTCCTACAGAGTGGTCTTTTCTCATCACGCTTGTGGTCAAATTGTGTAAAATGTGAATGTTTCTAACTTTTTCTAAAGGAATAATGAAAATTAAACCTGTCGCCAGAACCAGGCACATGTCAGCTCTATGTCAGTACTGAGATCTGCACAGTGCAGCTCAAAAAAGGGCCAGCATGTGGACGGAGCATAGCACACACATACACACACACACACACACACACACACACACACACACACACACACACACACACACACACACACACACACGCACACACGCACTAAACACTTACAAAAAAAGGTTCTCTTAAAACTGTACATGGAGAGGTCATATTAAAGAGAGGCTGTTTCTGTGAATGACCCACACACACAGATGAGACTCTAAAAAAACAAAAACAAATAGAAATCATATGAAGTGAAGGAACATTGTTATGAGTTGTATAATTACCAGGTTTAGTTTCCAAAACTCTTCACAGAATAATCCAGTTGTTTTTCTGTGAACGTTTGACACTTCACATAATTGATTCCATATAACAATGTCAAAAACATTTTCTTTGACATCTTGATAGTTCAAAATAGAATTTATTATTTATTTTTTAAATCATTAAGTTTTGTAATGTTGTGAAGTGCACCCCATTTATGCACACGTGTTTGGTTTCTCCAAAAACAGATGCTTTGTGCTGATGGGTTTTTCTCATATTTTTCTTTCTGTCTTGTTTATTTTAAACACGTTAAATATTCCAGTTTGAATAGGATCATCTGAAAACACTGTAATGTTCCTAAAACATGCCTATGTACAGTGCAGTCAGTGTGTTTGTTGTTAAACATGAAGGGCTATTGTATGACAAAACATTGCAGACCAGTTTAAAAAGACTGACTCAACAACATTTATTAAATATCAATGTCAGTGCTTTTCTTCATCTCACTGTGCACCAGTATGTAACAATCAAAGGAGGGAGATCAAAGAGGTCAAAACACATTAAAATGAACAATTATACAAATTCAAACCTGCATGGAATTGTTTTGTTCATTTTGCAAATCTTGAAGAACAACTAACTCCTGGAAGGTGAAGGTGTATTCCCTCCAGATTTGAGTGAAGCACTGAATCTTAACATCAACTGTGTGCTGTGAGGGAATTACGGGTTTGGAGGTTCTATTGGAAGCTATCACAAAATCAGAAGTGTTGTACCTCATACATATTGAGGACATTCTGACCATTTACGAAAAAGACCGGGTTCAGAGGGTTTTCAGGTTAGTACATCAAAAATGAGTGCTTTGTGCTCGCACGGTAGAAGAAAAAGGTTTATCATGCTCAACGTCCTGATACCAAAAATAATCACTCAGACATCACATGACCTAAGGTAAGAATAATTTTCTCAATGCTGTGAAGTATAAATTATTGTCGTAACCGCCTTCGGTTTATAAAAAGTGCCATTATCAAAAGTTGACTTTTTAAAAAAACAACAAAATAGAGTTCTGAGAGGTACTGTCTCTGTGAAGTCTAAAAACAGGTTCCCTTAGGATGGTTTTAGAAAGCGTGTTGGTACAGTATCAGCATCTCACATGGCTGGATCCTTCTAACCATAAAGGGAATATGCACCTTTGGAGAATATGTACAGGACAGATGATCGGCGTGAAAGGGCCCATGTTTAATGGGGACAAGTGAGGACAGGACATGAATGTCCTACTGAACACCTGGGAGGATCAACACTCATTTGGAAGGAGATCAAAATGCCTTCTTCTTCCCAAATGTAAAAGGACAGCATGAGCTGTTTATTAACATGCATAACACAGCCTCTTTTTGCAGCTCTAATACAATGATGGTATTATAAGTACTGCGACAAACCCTCCCCTCAGCGGCCAGGAGTCATATGGATTGTAACAGTGATGGGTACTTCTGACAAACAACGTTGTTGTTTCAATTGAGGAAAATCTTGAAAAGGCCCATATCTGTAATCTAATTTAAAATACAAAATATTTCTCTTAATCACAAGATTATTGTAATTGTGAGATCAGAAATTCAGATATTGTGAGTGGTGGTATTCCAAGTGAAGAATGGGCTTTGTGATGATTGTGATGAAGCAAGTGATTCAGCTCAGATATCTGTCCTTAAGTTCGTCTTTCATCAGAAATAAGCTGACATTAACAATATGAGCATTAGGTGGAATACAGCTCTCGTAATAACGGCAATATATGGTAATATATTATATCATACCGATGCATTTGTGTACAACCTGTGTACATTTAAAAGCACAGCACAATGAGCTGGGAGATAACTTTGGAATTTGGAGATATTTCGATATTAAAACACTCAAAACACATCAGTGTTGGCGGGGTAACTGTACTGTGATAAACATCAGACAGCTGTTTGTTGGGGTCTAAGCCAAAATAAAGCAAAGCATTTTGATATGTATAAGATGATGACTGTGATTCTTCTAGAAATGCCTGAAAATAGGAAGCATAGTATCTGAAACTCCAAAACACACCTGCAGCACTGAGAAGACTTTGATTTGAGTGAACTGTTTCCTGACTCAGACTGTCCCTACTCACTGGACATGGGAAGGTCAATCAGAGGGAATGACAGACAGATTGGGTCTAGTCAACATTTGCATATGGTCCATTTCAGGGGGCTCAGGTGTATTTCAAGGTTTAAAATGTTGGTTTGGTAAAATGATTAGAACCCTATCAACAAAGTGGCTTTTAAATATCACTGTTCATGACATTAATGGTAATTTTAGACGAGCAGCTCAAACTACATTGAGGGAACCATTTGTAAAGTCAAACTACAAAAGTTAAACATCATATCCAACTTCAGAGATTGAAATATGAGGTGATTTTTTGAAGAGCCCTTTTAAAGGGCATATCTCTTCACCTCATCCCAGATGTGGAGCAAATGAAAACGACACCTAACACAGCCCCTGCCTGAGCAGCAATGACACATGACAAGAACTGCAGACTTCTTAACTTTAACTTTGCACACAACCCAAGTTTAATTTTCCTATGGCCCAATTCCACCACATGTTGCGGCTCTACTGGACTCATGAAGACTTGAGTAGTACCCCCCAATAGAAGATCCCAGAGAGCTGAATGGATAAGGTGGAGGCCAAACTGCAGACCACTGACTAGCGTGTCAATGGACATCCTGCACCAACCAGACGTTTCTAATTAGCCAACCTACTGTCAACAGGGATTGCTTTTTTTTCAATGGAACCAAATGTAAAACAGGCTGGTAAAACTATGCCTTAAACTGCAACGTCCAATAGAGCAAGTGCAGACGTTCCTGGTGAATATGGAAGAAATTCAGTCCCGTTGACTTAGAGCTGTCAGGCAGTGTCAGCTGACCCTTCACTGAGGGCCGTATGCAGTGGAAACCTATATCGTGTGAGGGGGGCGAGTCTAGTAGAGCTGCTGCATGCGCTGGAAATGCAGCTTCACCAGAGTGCAATAATCTGCCTTCATGGTGCTGGATATTGTTTGGTCACTGCCATGAACCCATGTGTATTTGAACTATTGTTTGATTTATTTATACATTTAGTATTTCTAGATATCTTATAATGTTTGGAAATAGAGAATTCGACTATTGATGGCAGAGTGTGTGGAGGTGAGGAAATAGGCCAATCAACTGTGGGTATCTGTGGGTACGGTTACTATGAATGAAGTGCTGTTGTTATGTGCCATCTGAAGTTACTACTGCTAATGACAAGTATGTTTTCCCCCACAGATCCCAGAGCTGCTTCAGAAGCAGAGCGTCTGGTAGATGTGTTCACAGTGCCGCTGCAGACTGGACCAGAGGAGAGATGACGTTTCACATCAGATACAATAACTAGTGTGTGGGCGCATCCTTTCCTGTGAATGAATGTGCGTACACTGGTTGAACCATGTGTGCATTTTTGCATTCCAGTCAAAATGCCTTTAAAACAGCCAGCCATTAAGGGTCCCAGCACTGTGCCCAGGGGCCGCTCATAGAAAACGTGGAAGACCAGCGTTACTGTTTCAGAGCCATCAGTCAGAGCTGCTCTCAGTAAGAGCCGTAAGAAATTCTGCATCAGAAAGAAATAGGTGCTGCCTGCCAGCTATGAGCACATAAGGTAGGTTGAGTTTAGTTGTCACTGTTTTTCACTTTTGTTCATTTTAATTTCCAGCAGTGAGTCATGTAAGTGCAATGCCAGTTTTGGAAACTGATTGCTCACTGATGGTTGAACTTGGTGTGTTATTATTAGAATAAACACAAGGAGTCCTGTGAAGTACACGGAGTATTTGAAGCGGGCTGTGGGTATGGTCCTCCACAACACAAAGGCCTGCATGTTAGCTGAACATACAGCAGCTACAAGAACACTCCTAGTGCTGGTGGTGTGTGTTAGTGTGTGTGGGATAAAGTCACTGAAAGTGTCCTCGATGGTTGCAGGTAGGCTTCCTCTGCAACATCACACCTCCACTGAGGTGATCTGGTTCATCTGGGCCCTCATGGACTGGATGCTGTTGAGGATCTTCTTCTGGTGACCAACCAGTGTCACTCCCACTCTGAAGATGTCCCTGAAGATAAACCATGTGTCAATATGTCACCACACTCACACTGCGTACTGTAATTCAAGACTAAACTACTGAATACATTCCAATTTGAATCCCTTGTTATTCCACTCAGGATACCTACATGCTGCTCTAACCGAGGATAGGAAAATATGTAGACTTTACTTTATATTATATTTCATATTTGATTACACATATTTTCTATTGCACACTAGGAGCATTAACAAACATTGAATTAGGTTTTGAAATAAGATGTAACCAACAATAATCAGGAGATTCAGTATGAGACTCATGATTATACTCATGTATGATCTCTCTTTGTGTGAGGGTTAGGGTTAGGGATGGGGTTTTAACGAGTGTTGAACATACTCCATGGTCATTTGCGACACCAGTTCAAAGGTGGTGAAGCTTTCGTTTGCAAAGTTCTCCTTGTACAGGCCCATCTTTATGGCCTCCAGCCACTCATCCACTGTGCTGAAAGAGGAGAAGTCTGGAGTGGAGCGGTCCAGCAGAGGTAAGTGAACACTGCAGCACAGAAAGAAGTAAGATAACAAAATGAAAGCCTGTGACGAGGTCATTGAGCGGTCTAGGTCATTTACAGTGACCTTTCATTTTCATACCTTGATGACAGCGGTGTGGTGGCCTTCAGGCTGTTGGGGTTGCGGATCATCTTGTCCAGGGTGCTGACAATCTGGCTGAATTTGGGCCGGTTGTTGCGGTCTTTTTGCCAGCAATCTAACATCAGCTGATGCAGGGCATTAGGACAGTCCATCGGGGGGGGCAACCTGTAGTCCTGCTCTATGGCATTGATGACCTATAATGATTGATATGACAATTCATTCAGAGTCTGACAACACAACTTGAAGCTGAAAGAATCCAGAACAACACTCAACATTTAAGACACACAATCCCTACGTCTCTCTAAAGCAGGGGTTCCCAAAGTGTGAGGCACGCCTCCCCTGAGGGGCGCCAGAGAGCTTCAAGGGAGGCGCAGCCGCCAGAAGAAAATAAAGAGAAACAGTGAAATCTAGCTAGTTAACTTCAGCTAAATGTATGCGAGCGGCAAAATATGGATAGATTTTTTGTGAAGTTACCTAAAGTGAGAGAGGAGACAGCGTCTGTCAGAAAACGGAGGAAGTATGACAATGATTATTTGAAGCTAGGATTTTCATGGACCGGTCCTGATGACACTCCACTGCCACAGTGTGTTATCTGCAACGAGGTGCTAGCTAATGACAGTATGAGACCATGTAAACTCCGGCGTCATATTGAGACGAAACACCCATGTTTGGTGACCAACAGGGCCCCTAAGGGCAAATGAAAGTCGGACAGTTAAGTATGAAATTCTCGGTCCTAAGGTTTAAACACCCTTCCACTCGGAGGGGAGTCTCTTTATATTAGTGTCGGCGCGGGGGCGGGAAGGGTTTTAATAAATAAACGGATATATAATAATTAACAACAACAACGAATTAACGATCCCATAGTTAACGTAAAGTTTTCTCCAGGTATTCTCTTTTAAATTAGTATTTTACGAGACAAAAGCGATTAGGAAAGAGAAACAACTAACAACCGATTCCAGTTGGAGGAATTTTTTGTTAAGTTTGTTTATCGAAAAATTGGAAGAAATAGAAAGTCACAAAATTTAGTACAAACCCAATTCCCTACCGGGCGAAGGAGTATGGCAAACGTGTCCCTCCCTATTGCCAAAGTGGTTACAACACTCCCAAATGGACGGGGAATCGATTAGGCATTGCGGTGAGCCATACGACCGAAGCCCAACTGGGAAACATAAGTGTCACGAAATTTAACACAGTTACTGTATAAAAAGACAACTGGAAAAGTTAAGGAACTCGAGCTTAGTTTTTTTTG